GGGCGGCCCCGCCGGCGGGGCGCTGGGGTCTGACGACATGGTGGGGCCGGCGGGCTCCTCCGTTTTGGGGACAGGCGGGCTGGCGGCAGGAGAAAGGGTGCCCGGGCGCGCGGGTCTGCTGCCTGTGACCTGGGGTGCAAAGGGGGTGGTGGTTACAGGGCCCCCAGGAGGCACTTTTGGCGAGGGCAGTTTGCTGTCAGGAATTGCCCCCTCTGCTCCCAGCCCCACATCTGGGGGGGGGCAGGCAGCATGCCTCTGACCTTCAGTACTGGAAGCAACCCCCAGTGCTGGGAATTGCCCTGGGAACCCCATCCCAGCTTGGAGCAACCCGGGATGTTCCAGCAAATCAATCTCAAGGGAAGGAAAGAGCCTGGTTTGTGGCTTCGTCTTTCATTTTCTAGGCTAATCCCACATATTAGAGATGAAGTCTAGAAAGCATGCCCTGGGAGAAGGAGCAGCTGAGCATGGGCTGCCAGGGGCAGGGACCATTTGGGGAAGGGTGCCCGCGCAGTGCCAGCATGCCCAGGCCCCCAACCCTGGCCTCTGAGATCTCCCCCCAGCCTGAGATTTCTGCTAAAAGGGTGAAGGAAAAAGGCTGAGACAACAGGTAGGTCAAGGCCAGGGGTCAGAGGTCTCCCCACCTCTGGAGCTATAGGATTTAGGACCCAACCTCAGCCCCAGCCAACAGCTTGCTGCCCACCCAGGCACAACCCTATGGGGAAGGGACACTGGGACACTATTGCAGGGCCACCGTCAGCACACACCCCCCTTGGGCACCTCAGACAAGCCACGACACAAGCACAACCTCCTGCCGCTGCGGTCATCAGGCTCCATTTTTTGGCTGGCATCATGAGGTTTGCAACAGAAGAGCAGGAGAACAAGTGTGGGCATGGCTTGCCTCGCCAAACCACCCCGAACATTAAACTGGCGGGGGGGTGTGTGTGTGTGCGCATTTTTAAGCCTCCCAGTGAGATGCTCTGGTGCGTGATCAGCACTGCAGCTGCTTGCTCAGAAAGCCTTTGCTCTGCTGATTTCTCTTCCCATCAGTCACTGCAGCTCATGCTGGGTGCCTCTGTTTCAGGGTGCCCCATGCCAGCAGCTGCCAGCAACTGCTTGGGGGCACCGCTCTTTGGGGTGCTGGGTGGGGGCTCACCCATCTCCATCACCCTCAGTCTCAGGGTTTTCCCCATCGCCCAGAGCCGAGGAGCCCAACATCCCGTGAAGTTATCATCCCTTTCCCTGCCACCCCCTTCAGCGCTTCCTGCCCTGCTGGGGCATGTGGCATCTTTTGGGACGACACCTGCACACACCGGGAAACCCAGAGAATATTTAATTCGGTTTCTGACTCATCCGCAGCCCCTTGAGATGCACAGGCCCTGGGGGGACATGCAAAAGGGGGTCACCTCCGCTCTGAAATTAGCAGGCGCCAAGGACATGGGAAAAGGTTTCTAGAGCAGCTGAAGCTTCAGTGAGGGACCTGGCGACTCTTGTTCCCCTCGCCCACCTCCGCTTGCATCCCCTTGCCAGGGGGTCTGCCTGCCACCAGGTCCCGGATGCTGCCAGCCCAGCTTTGGTGCCCATCCACACCTCAGCTACTGCCCTAACAGCTGCCTCCTCTCAGCCCTGCAAGAGCTTCACCCTGAGGTCCAGGCGGCAGAGGCCAAACTGGAGTCCCAGCTACTGTCCCGCCCCAAGGCCAAACCCACCACTTTCCTCCTGCCCTTCAAGACGACTTCCAGCTGCGGCCACAAACCCCTCCAAAACGCCTCTTCCCTCACTGGCTTCCCATCCACCCCTGCACCAAACCCTTCATGCACTTCAGCATCTCCCCTCTGCCATGAAGCAACTGGGGCACCCGCGCCTGCCTTCTGCTCCACAGCCCACCCTGCACTGGGGCTGCTTGGCTCCCGGTCTGCCAGGCTCAGCATCTCCTGCCTCCACGCCCAGGTTCAGCATCTCCTTCCCCCATGCCCAGGTTCAGCATCTCCTTCCCCCATGCCCTGGCTAGGGCTCACCATCTCCCTCCCCCAGGCCCAAGGAGCTCGGAAAGGCTCAGGAAGCACCCAAGCGAGACACCCAAAACCCAGGGTGGCCACCCAGCAGCTTCTCTACTCCTATGGGTGCCCCCCATCCCACCGCCCTGCCTGCGCTGGCGAGCAGCCTGGCCACTTTTGGGCAGCAAAAAGCACTGTGGTCCCCAAGCATTGCTGCAGGATCTGGCGCCCTCCTACAAGGTGTCAGGGCTGCACAAGCAGGACAATTTGGGGGAAGCGGCCCCTGGTTCTCTGCCACGTCGTGGAGCCGCCACTATGAAAATGGCTTCACCACGACGCGCCTCCTCTGTGCGCGCTTTTGCTGAGGAGGCCTTTCAGTTCCCCCACCAGATTAGGGACAATGGAGGGTATTTAACCTGAATAACGATGCTTGGAGCAAACTATTAGTATGCTGAGGGCATTGGTTGGCGTCAGGAGAAAGAGCTTCCTCTGGCGGGTCCACAAGGGGCTGGAAAAATTGAAGTTTCCCAGAGGCAAAAGAAAAATAAGAAGCGAAGGGGAAGGGGCGTGCAAGAGGGGGAGCCTTGCAGGGACAAAATGGCGCGGGCAGATGAAGTGGGAACCGAGAGTGGGTTTGCCTCAGGTTCGCTTGTGGGACCAGCCCGGGCTGGGGTGCCCCAGAAGGCTCCCCAGTTTGGGGAACGAGTGGCGGTGGGGAGCAGGAGCATGCCGGGCATCGCTGGAGGAGAGGGGGCAGACAGCCCGCTCCTGAGGCTCAAGGGCAGCAGCGGACGGTGTCCTCCCGGGGCTGCCATTTGCCCCCACGAGCTGAGCTTGCCCCAGATGGGAGAACAAGCCAGGCGTGATAGCCCACAGGCACTTTGGGGGGTTCTGGCTGGCCCATGGGGATGTGGGGGAGAGCCCTGGCGTGGGGTGGCAGCTCACCAGGATGAGCACGGGGACCGGGCACAGCGAGGCTGTGGGATCCCTGTCCTCGGGGGTTTGCAACCCCCCCAGGCATGTCCCTGAGCAGCCTGCTCGCAGGCATTGCACCTAACTCCTGCTTGCAGCGGGGGCTGCAGCAGAGACCCCCATCCTGCAGCCGTGCCAAGGCTGGCTCCCACAGCCAGCAGCACTCTGCCCCTCTCCAGCACCCAGCTCGAGCACCCCAAATTTGTGGGTCAGCCTTGTGGCCCAGCAGCTGAATGCCCGGCTTTGCTGGTGCCAGTGAAGCTGAGGCTCAGCGGGAGCCTTGGCACCACGGGGGGCTCCAGGCCGTCATCCTGCCTCCCACCTCATTTAAATCCCCACAGCAAACAAAGGGACTGAGGAAATTAAACTCACGGCAAAAGCAGGCTGAGAAAAGAGGGGAGACGCCAGCACGTCCTCGCCGGTGTCTCCTCCCCTCCCAGCCCAGACGGAGAGCAGGGAAAGCCTCTCCTGTCCTTCTCCATCCCTGTGCTCCACCCCACCATCCTCTCCCCAGCCCTTTCTCCAATGCTGCAGCCCCAGCAGGCGACAAGGAGGGGACACGTGGGGCACGGGAGGCATTTTCCCCCTCTCCTTCATCACCGGCAGTCATGCTAACCTCTGCGAGGGCAGAGAGCATCTCTCCCCACCCTAGGTCTCTCCCGGCCTGGCAGACACCACCCACAACACCGTGTCCACCCCACACACGTTATGCAGTGCACGGACGAAATCCAGGTCACTTGAGGAGGCGAGCAGAGGCTGCAGCAGCCCAGCTCTGCCAGGGGGCACGGGAAACCTTTCCAGCACAACCCCCCCTCCGCCTCGCTCCTCCCTGTCTCCCCTCGGTGGCTTTGCTCAGAGGGTCCCCCGGCGTGACAATCCTCCAAGCCAAGGACATGTGCAAGCAGCACCCAGCCCCTGGAAGGATGTTCTTTGTAAAAAACTCCCCCCACTCTGTCCGTCGTCTTCCCTCTCTGAAGAAACCATCTCAGAGCAAAACCCCAGAGCCCTCTGGTGACAGGGTTTCCTTCGGCAGTGGCAGCCAGCTCTGCTTTTATAATTTTCGGAGGGCAGGCTTCCGAGCTGAGCTGACAGTCAGTTGGGAGCGCTCGCAGGCGAGCGCAGGAAACCCAGGCCAATTAAGGCAGACAGGCGGTAGACACATCAGCTTTTATCTCAAGATCCAAGTACCCCATTCATCACCAGCGACTGAAAGGTCTGCGGTTTTATCAAATAAAATCACTGTCTCTCTCCCTCTCTTTAAAGCCAAACACGTTGACTTGGGTGCTGGCAGTGACCTTGTTTAACTAAATAGCCTTTCAAGGTCCCCCAGAAGGGGGGAAGGAGCCTTTTGAAGAGGCACCAGCCTCTGTCTGCCACTCCCCGTTCATTAGCGGCAGCGAAGAAAAACCCCTCACGCGTCCCCTCGGCCGGGCGGGGGAATACATATTTAATTGGCTTAATCGCCTTCGGCGAGTCAGCCCTCCTGCACGGCGCTTCTTTGTGCTCCATTCCATACACCGGAACCCCTGGGCTGCCCAGGACAGACGGATGGATGGACAGGCGGCCGCTCTGCCGGCAGCCGTCACGCTCCAGCTCTGGACGTGACCCTTCGGCTGGATGGTGTCGCCTTTATGGGTCGTCACCTTTCACGCCGCAGCGTCCCTTTGCAAATCACCGTCTTGTGTGCTGTCTGCCACCACACTCCGCTCTCCCAAGCGCCGCCGCTCCCCCCGCCCCCCCCCGGGAGCTGGAGGTTTTTTTCCCTCTGCTGCCTGTTCCAGCGAGCTTCCACACGGGCTCTTCCCCGCCACTCGCCACCACCTTTCCTCTGTCCCTCGCGATGGCCAGTGGCCCCAGTTTAGGAGTTAGGTTTACCTCCCTGCTCCTTCTACCTCAGTAGCAAAAAGGTCTATGTGTATCAAAAAGACCCCCCATCTCCGCAGCCAGCTGCCGGCAGCCATCTCCTCACCCCACGGAGCAGGGAAAGTGATGTTCTGGCCCGCCGCCATCCTCGGGGAGGCTCATGCCCCCCCAGACCCAGCCTGTCTAGACACGGGCTGAAACAGAGAAGAGCTACACCCCTCCAGACGCGGGAGCGCGTCCCCAGAGCTCAATGCAAAAACAAAAATCCCATTTTTCAGCTGCTTGGCACATTCATGCGCCGAGGGACCCACCGACACCACGGTGGCCAGCCGAGATCCGGAATCGGCATCTCCTGGGGGGGGACTGCTGTGAGGGCAGGAACCAGCTGGGGAACCGGGATGGCTCCAGGCAGGGGTTACCACAAGCAAGCAGGGCCACCGCAGCGCTCGCCGGGCTACGTTTCTCCATCCTCCCTTCCTCGGAGGAGGCTCACAGCCTCGGCGTCTGGCAGGTTTTTATAAATGCTGTCTCTGTCCGATGCTAATGAAAGCCTCTCAGCTCCCTCCTGCCCCCCCTGCTTCCCTTTTTTGGTTACCAGATCATGCTGTTAAGAATTAAAAACCAAGCAAAGCAATTTCCTTGCCTACCCTGCATGTTAAAAACCCCTTTGCTGAGACAAATTACGATAGGAAAAATGAACTAGGTGGTTTTGGGGGAATACACACTGACAGCATCCCCTCCCCAGCTAAGCCAATCACGCTCACAACTCCAGGGATCTTTGCTGAGATAAAGTCTCGCCTACGATACAGCCTGCTTAGCGCTAAAATACGAATGTCACCTTTATGGATCGATTATAAAAAGCTCCCTTGGTCAGTGCTGGGCTGCCCGGTTCTTGGGGAGGCCGTGGGGAGAGCAAGCAGGCTGCCAGATGCAAAGGGGAAGCAAAGGGGGAAGCCATCATGGAGGCTTGATTTACCTTTTAAGCATATATGCAGAATCATCACTCCCAAACACCAAGTTTGTGGGATTTGGTTGTTTTGTTGTATTTGGGTTTTGGTTTTGTTTCTTTTTTTTTTTAATCAGAACAGTGTCTGTTCAAAGACCTGGCACAAATGTCCTCATCTGTGTCCTTCCTTCCTCCTTTGTGGATCTAACTTGCCGTCTGCAGGAATGAATAGTGCAGCCAGTCCCAAACAAATCCGAATTCAAGCCCCCATCATTATTGGCCCGGTTTAATAAGACAGATTTTTTATAAATCGCCTCCCCCTGCCCCGGCAATCTGTGAGCTGGGTCCCAGCCGATCTCAGCCCTCCGTGGCAAAGCCCCGGCTATTTGCCCCCCGGCCAAAGCAGACATGCAATGCCGCCGCCACCACCCCCAGAGGAGTTATTGTTCCTCAGGCTGGTGGGGAATAACCAAACCAGAGGAGGGAAGTCGCGCTTCACCCTCGCACCTCTCCGCCACCAAAAAGGAAAAAGCAGGTTTGATGATAGAAAAAGGTGGTGCGTGAAGTTTAAGCTCCAGCTACAATAGCCCAGGCGAGCTGGATGGCCATTGTGCCTCCCCTTACCTCCTTAGCAGCGATGGGCTCCCTGGAGCTGCGCTCTGCAAAGCATCGGTGCTCGGCGGGGCCAAACGCTCCTCCGCTACCTTGCGAGGAGCAGCGGTCTCGCCTGCAGCCCGGCTCTGGGGGGGTTTCTCTGGCTGCCTGCCTGCCTGCCTGCCTGCCTGCTGCCTGCTGATGGATCTGCGGTATCTGATGTGTGTATGATGTGCGCCTCGCACACACACACGCATCCGCACGCCTTCCCCTGACGTCAGGGCCAGGCCAGGGGGAGCGGGCAGGTGGGAGGGATCAGCCTGGTCATTTCTGAGCTAGGCTTAAAGGAGCAAGTCAGTATGGGGGGCTGGAGGGGATGAGGGTCAGCCCCAGGGGGCTGCATCGCTCTGGTTACACAGTGACGCGCATCGGTGGCACGGCGGACGCAACGGGGGCAGCCTGCCGGGATGCAGGGACAGCGGGACGGGGGGGTGGGAAGGCACCGGAGGGGGGATGGCGCCAGGAGGCCAGGTCTGGACCAGGAGGGGTCCCCTGTGACAGGCCAAACTTCTTCCCTATCACCCCAAGTCCTGCTGGTGCCGCTGCAGCCGTTCTCCCTGCCTGCCCAAGCCTGCAGCCCCCCCGGCACCACGGGTGCCACGGTCACCCCTGGCATAGCAGGGGAACACGAGGGGCACGTACCACAAATCCACCCTACCGCCCCGCTCCCCTGCTCCGGGCTCGCAGCCGTCACAAACCCAGGTGCTTTCTAAGTTTGTCATGTGCAGTGCACTATGCCACCTCCCCGACCCCAAAAGATCTTTCCTTTCTGTTTTCCCCTGTGCCGGCGTGACCGTGCTCAGGAGAGCCGTCTCCGCGGGCAGAGGCAACGTCATGAATCGGCCCGAGACTGTCTCTCTTGGGGGTGCAGGGCGATGCGATGAGGACAGGAATCAATCGTTTGCTGCATCCGCTGGGGAATAGGGCGAGGAGTAATGGGGTTTAAATTGCAAGGAGCAAGATTAATGCTAGACATTAGGAAACTCTTTCTAACAGAACAGACAGTTAATTACTCAAGTAGATTGCCTGGGGAAGCACCGGAGTCTCCATCACTGGAGGTTTTTAAGAACAGGCTGGGTAGGCATTCTTTGGGGGGAATTTAGGTGATACTGGGCTCATTTTGGAGCAGAAGGGTAGACCACACCAGCACCTTAGCAGGCAGGTCCCCTGGAATATCCTGGAATAAAATTTGCAAGAACCCTGAACAACTGTGGTGCAACGTCAGTGCTGCAGGGAGCTGTCACAGGCATCCTGTGATGGGGGGTGGTGGTGGGTTGCTTTTGGTTTCTTAAAAATTACTCTTGCCTTGAGTTATCCTAAGTAGCTGAACATGATGGTGCCAATCGGACCTGTTCCACCAATGACCGAGGCTGCGGGGTGGCGTACAAGTTGTGTAGGAAGCCACAAGGCATGGCGCAGAGTCAGGAGACAGGGTCATGACTGCTCCGCCTGGCTGTATCCATCCATCCAGGTGGCTAGGTGTTGATCCGTGGCTGTCCCAGAAGCTTTGGCAGAGGGAATGGACCACAAAGCAGTTGTGTCTCTCCTGTCAATGAACTACAGTGCAGAAAAGGGCTCCGTAAACAGAAAAGACCAGCCCATGGTAAGACCACCAAGAAGCACTGAAACCCCAAGTACCAATGGGCTCTGCCATTGCCCTTCACACTCTGCTTGTGGCTTTTCAAGCAGTTGTCCGTGACAAAAACCCCTACAGACACCACAAGGCTTATCTCCCTAGTCTACCCTTCAAAACCTTGCAAAAGAAGGGGAGGAGAAACCCAGCCAGCTCTCAGTCTCCACTCTGAGTTTCTCCTGAGGTGGCCCATCCTCTCCTGGGGGACACCTCTACACATCCAGACCAGGAGGATCATGAGCTGGAAACAGCTGGAGGCCAGAAGAGTGCTGGGGACCTATGGTATGGGCATGCCCTTTTCTTCCCCAAGGCATTCGTTTAACATTTGTACATTGAATATCATAAATACCTCTACTTCCCCACCTGATTTGTGGTACACCAGGGTTAGCCATGTGCCCAGCTGCACGTGTTAAACAACATAAACTGAGCAGAGGAGGTGAGCATCAGAACCTGACTCTCCCACGTAGTCACTAAAGGCTCTTGACGGAAAAGGCACGGGGAACTTGAAGTACGTTTGACTGGAAGATGGCTCTGGGCATGCGCTGCAGCAGAGGAGGCAAACAGTCTGAAGCATGCAAAAATGATAAAAGGAGAAGAGGGGAAGCTTTGATCAAACAGAGAGTGGGAGTTGGGGTGCCAGAGATGCCTGCAGAGATGGAAGCAAAGGCAGGAGCATGGAGGACTTTGTACGTGAGAAGATACATAATTCCTTTGGCATCAATCAAAGGAGGGCCAAAACAGCCTAGATGCAAATTACCACTTGCCTCCTCCCATGTCCCTGAGCCAGTTTTCCCCAACAGCCATGGGGATGTGGGGGCAGAGGAGACCTTAAAAAAAAGAATTTGGGGGTTCTTTTAATTTTCCTCCCAGTTTCTGAGCCTTCAGGTAACTTCAAATAGTATTTTCCAGTTTTCCTGTATAATTGTGAGAATGAGAAATGTCTGGGATTTTCTCTGAGTGACAGAAAGACCCTTATGCAATCCCTGGGTTCCAGCAGCTGAGGCTTCAAAAAAGCCAGCAGCCAATAACCATGCTCCCAATGTTGGAAAAGACCCAATACTGCTGAGAGAGACTCTAGAGACTTTATGGTTACGTCTGAAAAGGTGCTTACAGGCGCTGCGGATTTGTGGGTATTCATTGTGTCAGTACTACTGGGGCAAAAAGAGACCACTCAGCAAGATGAGGCTGTTCACACAATCTCCATCAAGAGATGGAGTGTTAAATATAGCGTAACTCTGAGCGCTGTCAAGAGCCGAGATGAGGCTGTTCACACAATCTCCATCAAGAGACACCTTAGCTGTAGTGTTAAATATAGCGTAACTCTGAGCGCTATCAAGAGCCAAGATGAGACAACACCCATGTTTTACAGGGCAAAGTTTGGCTTTCATTTGTATTTTTACATTAGAGACCGTGCTTGTGAGATACAGAATTCCTTCAGAGAGAAAACCAAGGTCGTAACAGAGCAACATCTGTCATGTGTACGAAGGCCCAGGCACACACCGCTTGGGACCGGGGGGGTTACCTGCAGAGGGTGAGACTGGAAATCATTTCCCACAGGCTGTGATGTTACTGGTGGAGGCTGAGAAATTGCTGGTCAGGCTCAGCTCACCACCAAACAGTGGTGTTTGTAGCCTGGTATCTAAGCTCATCCAACACTGCTTTCCCTCCACACGTTTCAATTCAGTTCCCCCCAGAGTAGGATCAAAGTCCCTGCAAGTTTCACCAAAATACATAGCTGCGTAGAGAAGAGGAATCCTGTCATTCTTACCGAGGAACAGCCTGCAGCGTTCAGCCCTTATTGGTGACCACAGAGCTGATACAGGGGAGAGAGATTCTGCACATCCCTACCCTAGAAGAGCTCGCTTGGTTGCCTGCACTTTACAAGACACCGAAGACCCAACTGTAAGACACAAGCCAGTATGAAGCAAGGCCTCGCAGAGCTGCTGCTCACACAGCTGTTTTTGGGAGGCTGTGGATCGGACTGAAGGGAGATGTATCTGCTTCGTATTGGGCATCCAACAGCCCCTGATGGGGCACAGCTACTGGAAGCATGAAAAATATTAGCTCGGGGATGGGCTAGAAATGGAAGAGTGATACGACTCTGTCCAAATCCACTTCTCTCCACCTCCCACCTTCTCCCAGGTATTCAGCCTACTATTCCCCTGAACCCCTGCCCCTATTTAACCTTACAGTTCTTATGTACAAAAGCATCCAGTCATCACCTCGCCAATATCAACAGTGTCTAACTTCTGCCTCCTCGTGCGATACCAAGGCTATTTCTTCCCCCGCCATCAGAAGAGGGACAGGGTCAGGAACCACTCTCTCTTCTGCAAAAGTAGCTACAGATACCCACAAAGCCTGCGCTCCACCTAAAGGTCAAACCTCTTGCTGCCAGACCTGCGTGAGGCCAGGACAGAACAGCAAGGGATATGGCACATGTGCCAGCAAAACTGTGCCGCGCCGAGATTAGCGCAGCCACGATGGTAGCGCAGGAGAAAGGAGCCTTTGTAAGGCTCCCTGAAGTAGGACGACAAGAACAAGAAACGCTGGGGATTTGGGTTGAGGTGTTCTGACAGAGCAGTGTCTGCTGCGTTGGCAGAAGAGCTCCTTGCTGAGACGGTAGATGCTGCTCCAAGAAAAATGCTGCTCTTCTCAGGTGACAGGGGAAAACTTGTACCTGGGCCCCCCATTTAATACAGACACACCAAACATGTACAGACCAGCCATGTTTATATAAAAAAAAAAACCAACAAACAAACAAAAACCAACCCAACAGATCCTGGTGAAACAGGAGTAATTGCAAAGAGATCAGACAACTCCTTGGCCAAGACAGGTATCTCGTTAATGAGGCCTAGCCACCGTATTTGCAACCTCATTTTCCCCTTTCCTGCTCCAAGACAGCTCGATGTTTAATGATTTCTTATCTAAAACACTCATTACTGTCCCGCTACGCGCTGTAGGGGGGTGTGGGGGATGACACACTTAGCCTTTGCATCAAAGCCATTATGCTGACACTGCAGTTTTGACTGTCAGCCAGAGATGCTTGGTTTTCCTGGCGGATCTTTTTTTAAACACACTTCAAACAACCTCCTTTCATTTTTCCTAACAAATTTCAGACATGAGGACACCCCCCCATTTTCTACCATCCCTCACGCTGCTTACCTCGCTGCAGAACACGCCAAGGCCTGCAAAATCACACCATGGGGATTTTTTCTTTTGTAATTGACACTCAGAATAAATTATTCCAGCTCTACATACATGATGCCAATTTGTACCTGATAGTAACCTCGACCTAAGTATTGGGCAGTCACCATCTTGCAGAACACCTTCCAGGTGCAAGGGGGGCTATAAACCCACCCCGTTTTGCTGTATATGTAGGCAAACAGCTGAAGTATCGGCTCTCGGAAGGATGCCAACTTTGTCCTCTGTTGCCCTGTCGCGATTGAAGCTTACGAAAAGGAGAAGCGAAATGACAAATTACTGCAACTGTGGGTTGTTTCAGGTGAAACACTAGCTGCGGCACGGCAATCGCTGCATGGGGGTCGGCCCGGGGTGACACCCGAGGCCGGGAAGGACGGGTCTGTCCGGGTTGCTGAGGGCCCTTCTACGTTTCTACAGACCAAAACGACCCCCCTCACGGGGACCACCAGAAACCACAGCAGCCCCGGCCTAGCCGGTCCCGGGTCCCGGTCCCGGCCCCGCACCGGTAACGCGGGTAACAAGACGGGGCC